CGCACACTAGGTGGGCGGCGGTCAGTAGCCCCCAGCCCCGCATCTCGGCCGCGTCTGCCTGGGCCACTGTCGGCTCCTGGGGAAATTCGCGGGCGCCGCGGGGTGTGGCTTTCCACCTCCTCCCCGCTTTTTTTTCCCCTGACTCTGGAGTTTAGCAATCTGAAATGGGCGCGCCTAAAAGCGGAGTGAGAAGTCTAAATTAAGACAGGACTTGGTGGCTCCACCCCTCCCACGGCATCACAATGGCGCTTCTCGCTGCTCCCGCCAGCATCGAAAATCCTCGGGGCGGGGAGGGTCAGAAAGCTGTCTCTAAATGCGGTCAAGCCCAACCTGGCCCCGGCATCCCTGCTCCCCGCGGAGAACACAGGGCGCCCACTTCCCCAGCCCCACCGGGTTCCCCGGGGCTGTTTACACTAGCGCTCTACCAGCGATGCCGAGAGTGAATAAACAGGCCCATCCTTGTGAGGAGAAATTCAGAGCAGCTAAGCAAAGTGGAAAAAAATCATTGTCCCCCAGACTCTGAGTCATAATTTTAGAGAAATGGCAAACACACACACACAACACACACACACATGCACGCACACGCCAAACCAGGGTATTTTCTGGAGAGTTGTTTAATGTATATGAAAGGACAGGAGAAAAACTATTTTTACCTAAAACACAAATGAAGGTATTTTGTTTGCCTCTCCAGGAAAATGCTGTGGTTTCTCCGTTGGGGAAAAAAAAAAAAAAAAAACAGAGCAAGAAAGGAATGCTGGCACACGCAAAAGTTAGGTGTTGCTACTTGGAACTGGGAGAAGCAATTATCCAGGGAGATGCTTTATATTTTTGACGGTCTCTACACACATTTGCTACGGACAGCATTCATCAGAACTGTAAAGTTGGGAGCAATTTGTAGAAACACTAGGATTGGGGTAGCTCTCCTGTCCCAGTAGAACGGTAGCCGTGGTGCAGGAGTTACCGAGCTTACCCAGCTCCTCACCACCCTGGCTTGTCAACAGCTCCTTCTCCAGTTCTTTGGCACTGGCACCATCTTCAGATGACTCAGGTTTCACCATGACTACACCATAAAAGCAGAGAACTGCCAGAAACTGTTGAAAAACAGGCACATTCAGTCCCTGACAACTTAAAGTTTCTAATTCGTGGAGAAAAGTTTTAGATGGTGACTTTTTCATGCAGGGCAAAATGCACAAGGAAAAGAGGTCAGCAAAGGGATGTCACGTGACAAAGCTATGTGCTAAATAAGGGAGAAAGTAGCACCTAGACAAACTGTGGTTTTTGGAATCCAGGAACTTGCTTTCCTCCCTTTCCTGTTCCACCCTTTTTCACCCTGCTGAACGGCTTGCAGAGGTCCCTCATGTCCCTATGTCTCCTACAGGCAGCCTATCTTTAGTGGCTGGCTTCCTGTGCAGGCAGGACTTGAGGATAGTAAAAAGTGTCTGAGTGGATCCTTGGGTAGAGATCCTATCCTTGACAGAGCTATCACTGCTGATCTAGTCTCCTCCCCTCTGTTGTTCAGAGTGGAGGACCAAGGTCAAATGTGAGCCAAGCCCAGAGATCTAAACCAGTGCTTCTCAAACTCTAACATGTATGAGAATCACGTTGGAATGCAAACTCTATTTCTGGAATGGAGAATGAGATTCTACTTTACTTCAGTATACAGGGGGTCACAGAAGGTCTACAAGTACAGGCAATTTGGGGGCACTTTGATTTAAAAGAGAAGTTGGGAACCTGGAGAAAATTATTTTCAAGCTTCACAGAGATGGATCAATAAATTCAGGTTTATTCTAGAGGCAGGCAAATGCATTACAAGAAGACCTATAGAAAAGCTTAGAATGACCTAGTTATTTTATAAAATTAAATCTGTGCCGATCTTAAATTGATGTACCTCTCTGTTTATTTCTTCCTTCTCACAATACACACTTGCTGAAAAGCTTAACCATACAGAAATTTAGCCATGTAGATTTGCATAGAGATGAAGCTACTACATGCCTGGTACACAGTACTCAATAAAAATTTGTTAAAAGAATTAGCAAAAAGGTTCATCTCAAAGGCTTTTTTTAAAGTTTTATTATTTACTTAAGTGATCTCTACACCCAACATGGGGCTCGAACTCACAACCCCAAGATTAAGAGTCAGATGCTCTACCAACTGATCCAGCCAGGCACCCCTCAGAGTCTTTTTTTAATTAAGAAAAATTAAAAATAGCCTGAGATTAACAATAAGAGATTGGGTTAAATAAATTATGGTATATCCATGCAACAGAATACTTAAAGTAATTAAAAATTATGTTCTTGAATTGGAGACTATCTAGAGGTAAGTATTCATGATATGCTGTTGGGGGGTAGAGAAACTGTTTCATAAAACAGAATTTAAATATGATTCCATGTTTATAAAAATAAAGTGTATTTATGTATATATACACATTGTAAATATATGCGTTGAAGAAAGAGTTGAAGGATGGTCACCAAAATGTTGTATGTATCCTGGTGATTACCTCTGCCAAGTTTTCTATAATGAACATAAATATCATTTTCATTTAAGAAGAAACCTACAAAAGGGTACTGTTTTACTAAGAGGTCTTTTAGGCAACATCTTAGAAACTTTTACATAAAATTCACGAATTTTAATACTAAAAAAATTATGTGTGTTCCTCCCATGAAAACTGGCCTTTGGCATAAGAACTCCCCAATGTTCCTGTGTGCCTCCTGACCTGTCTTTAGGGTGTGGCTCATTGAGAAAGCAGAACCAGTATGAGACTGATCCTACCCCATCATGGCAGCCGAGGAGCAGCCATGGCCTCTGCGTCCAGTGTTGAACCTAAAGTCGCTCAAGGTCAGCCAAGGGGAGAAGAGCTAAATGTGGACAAGAACAAGGAAATATGAGGGAGAACTGGAACCTATGTCTCTCTTACCACCTCCAACTTTGATGTCTTGGGTAAGCTGCAAGAGAAGCTGGTATCTTTCACCAAGAGCTGCATATGCACCTCGCCCAGAATTTAGAAAAGCTCAAGGAGGAGGTCTTCTAAGACCTGGAGGAACACGGGCCCTCATTGCCACCCCCCACACACAAAGTGAGCTAGCAGATCAGTTAACAATGAGGGCCAGTGGCTCACCTGCCTGGCACCTTGCACTAACCTTCAGAAAGTAAAAAATATGGCTTCTGCTTCACTGCTGACTTTCAAGTTCACACAAAATGTCTCTTGTGGCCAACACCAACTCAGAACCATACAGGAAGGGAAATTCTGAGACATTGAGCTCCATCTTAGATAAGTTGCCATAGTACAAAGCTACCAAAGTTTGTGCCTCAACAACTTGACAGCTGTATATACCCTTTTTAACTATATTTAACTTAAAAAACAAACAAACAAAAACAGAAAAATCATGCTTTCACCTAGCATGATGCAACTTTCCTTCATACAACCAAACACAACATAACCCTCTCTCCAAGAGGGGATATAAAGTTCTTTTAACTGTCTTTGGATTTTGTTCATGCCTCTTCTAGCTGAATCACATTCTCCCTTTGAGACCCTATAACTTCAATACCAAGGTAAAAGGTTAACTACTATTAACACATATGGTAGAAGAATGACAGGGAGGAGAAAAATATTGGTTAATAATGTATACAAATGTATTTATATCAAAACAAGAAGGAAATGCAAATAACTAGTACAGTCCTCATTTCTGCTACTGGTCACATGGAGGTAGATGGTATTTATAACTACCTTCTTCCGCTACCTATTTCTCTGCCTTCAGTTCTTTCCATGGTTCTTTTTATGGTGAGGTGACCCAGATCTTCATTTCTGAAGGATGTGGGCCACTAACAGTTCTCCCTGTATTGTATTATTTTCTATTGACTTTAATCACAGAACCTGGGAAAAGAACTAAGAAATGCCCTAGTACATCTTCTGTATTCCAGAAATACTTCTAATTTTCATTGTGTAGTAGCAAATCCTTGACAATCAGGATCATTCACTCACTTCTGCCAATAAAGTAACCTCTTTTTTGGCTATTGATTCACTGGCATGAGGAGCCCCAAGTGACCAGGTGGAAATCTCAACTGCCAGTCGAAGGGGAACATTGCAGTGTCCCCTACTGGAAGCTTTGCTATCTTGGAAACTGAGACCTCTGCACAAGCAGAGCCCAATGCTGCTCTGGAATGGGAAGCAAAAATTTTAATAATGGATCACTAGAGGTAATAGAGGAACCACTCTTATTCCACCTCTTTATTTTAGTAAAGCTGCCTTTGGGTGAAATATTAGTTGCTGATTTAGAACATAAACCACATCCTAGAGTCTATTGTTTGATTTTTTCACAAATTTGTAACTTTTCAGAAATATTATATATGAAATTAGTGTCAACTTCTCTTCATCCTCTATTTGAGAACTATTTCAATAGACTCCTACACAGAACACCAGAATATTCCCTGAGACTCTTTTTTAACCCAAGAGCAGAAGGAGAAAGTCCCTGTCCACTGGAAAGCAAGGAATGATGTTGAAATGAACAAGGAATAATATTCCTTGGAATAATAATAATGAGACTTATCCTTAACTTTCTTTTTTTTTTTTAAGATTTTATTTATTTCTTTGACAGAGAGATAGCATGAGTAGGAACACGAGCAGGGGGAGAGGGAGAAGCAGGCTTCCCACCAAGCCAGGAGCCCAATGTGGGACTTGATCCCAGCACCCTGGGATCATGACCCGAGCCACAGGCTGACACTTAACAACTGAGCCACCCAGGAGCCCTATCCTTAATTTTCTATATGGCAGTCCAGAATTTAAAATTAGAGCTCTACATCCAACCAAACTATCAAACAAGAGTGAACATTGAATAAAAATATTTTCACAAATGGAATGGCTCAGGAATTTTGCCTTCCACAAATTTTTTTCAGGAAGTTACTTTAGGAGGACATATTTAGCAAACCAATGAGAAAAAAAAAGCCAAGACAAAAGAAGATGTAACAATCAGGAAAAAGTATATATAACCCCAGAGAGCAATGAAGAGAGAAGTTTCAACAGGAAGAAGAATTCCAAGGCCTCAGGGGGGAAAAGGGGATCTTAATAGAATAGATAAACATTATGGAAAACTGGGGAGGGGTGGGGGAGGTTGGGGGTGAAGCTACAACAATGTAATGTAGTGCAATAAAAGGGAAGGGGAATTACATACTTGGGGGGAAAGAATGCTGAATAAAGAAGGAAGTATAAGGGCGCCTGGGTGGCTCAGTTGTTAAGTGTCTGCCTTCGGCTCAGGGTCATGATCCCAGGGTCCTGGGATCGAGCCCTGCATCGGGCTCCCTGCTCAGTGGGAAGCCTGCTTCTCTCTCTCCCACTCCCCCTGCTTGTGTTCCTTCTCTTGCTGTATCTCTCTCTGTCAGATAAATAAATAAAATCTTAAAAAAAAAAGAAGTATAGCCATAATTCATCAGTTGGCTCTGCAGTAAACAATAATTACCTAATTATGTTGATGTAGGGATGGTTTATTGGTTTGTAATTCAGAAAATCACACTCATTAAAGGGAAAGAATGAGGGGTTATTCTGCTTTTCCTGTATGAACTGTATCACTGGGTAACCAAAGAGTAGATATGAAGAAATTTCTCCTTATAGAGAAATTTCCAGCTAATAAATGTAAAATGAATGTTAGAATTAGAATAGCACCATATCACAGACAGCCCTTATTGAATCAATAGATCTGGACCAGTGCTGCCCAAGAGAACTTTCTGTGCTGATAGAAATGCTTTATATCTGCCCTAAAGCCACAAGCAACGTGAGGCTAGGAGCATTGTTGACATGTGGCTAGCACAACTGAGAAACTGAATTTTTAATGTTTTTAATTTGAATCTATTTAAAATTAAATAGCGACATGTGACTAATAGCAAACACAATGGATCATGCAGACCTAAACAGTCATCATAAATGACTGCTAGTATCACAAAAGGAGCCCTGTCTCCCAGAAGAACCCCTACCACCTAAGAAGTGGTCTTGCCAAAAAATTGAACGTGAATCAGATCAAGCTTCTAGATTCAACTACCAATTTGCACAGAAATATAAGGGGACATATTA